GATGATGACTGTGTGTCGTGTGTGATGATGACTGGTGTGTGTGTGAGTGATGACTGTGTGTGTGTGTGATGATGACTTTGTGCTGTGTGTGATGATGACTGTGTGCTGTTGTTGTGCATGATGACTGTGTTGCTGTGATGATGATGACTGTGTGTTGTGTGTTTGCTGATGACTGTGGTGTGTGATGGATGATGATGACCTGTGTTGTGATGTGGTGATGATTGATGAATGTGTGTGTGATGGTGATGATGATGACTGTGTGTGTGTGTGTTGATGATGATGACTGTGTTGCTGTGTTCGATGATGATGACTGTGTGTGTGTGTGATATGCCTGTGTTCGTGTGTGATGATGCACTGCTGTGTGTGTGTGATGAGGACTGTGTGTGTGTGTGATATGACTGTGTGTGTGTGATGATGACTGTGTGTGTGTGAGATGATGACTGTGTGTGTGGTGATGATGACTGTGTGTGTGTGATGATGACTGTGTGTGTGTGAGATGAGACTGTGTGTGTGTGTGATGATGACTGTGTGTGTGTGCTGATGACTGTGCTGTGATGTTGATGATGACTGTGTGTGTGATGATGACGTGTGTGTGTGTGATGATGACTGTGTGTGTGTGTGATGATGATGTGTGTGTGTGTGATGATGACTGTGTGTGTGTGTGATGATGACTGTGTGTGTGTGTGATGATGAACTGTGTGTGGTGTGATGATGACTGTGTGTGTGTGATGATGACTGTGTGTGTGAGATGATGACTGTGGTGTGTGTGATGAGATGATGCTGTGCTGTGTGTGTAGATGATGACTGTGTGTGTGTGTGATGATGACTGTGTGTGTGTGTGATGATGACTGTGTGTGTGTGATGATGACTGTGTGGTGTGTGATGATGACTGGTGTGTGTGTGATGATGACTGTGTGTGTGTGTGATGATGACTGTGTGTGGTGTGATGAGACTGTGTGGTGTGTGATGATGACTGTGCGTGTGTGAGATGATGACTGTGTGTGTGTGTGATGATGACTGTGTGTGTGTGTGATGATGACTGTGTGCGTGTGTGATGATGACTGTGTGTGTGGTGATGATGACTGTGTGTGTGTGTGATGATGACTGTGTGTGTGTGTGATGATGACTGTGTGTGTGTGTGATGATGACTGTGTGTCGTGTGTGATGATGACTGTGTGTGTGTGTGATGATGACTGTGTGTGTGTGTGATGATGACTGTGTGTGTGTGTGATGATGACTGTGCGTGTGGTGATGATGACTGTGTGTGTGTGTGAGATGATGACTGTGTGTGTGTGTGATGATGACTGTGTGTGTGTGTGATGATGACTGTGTGTGTGTGTGATGATGACTGTGTGTGTGTGATGATGACTGTGTGTGTGTGTGATGATGACTGTGTGTGTGTGAGATGATTACTGTGTGTGTGTGTGATGATGACTGTGTGTGTGTGATGATGACTGTGTGTGTGTGTGATGATGACTGTGTGTGTGTGTGATGATGACTGTGTGTGTGTGTGATGATGACTGTGCGTGTGTGAGATGATGACTGTGTGTGTGTGTGATGATGACTGTGTGTGTGTGTGATGATTGTGATGACGGTGTGTGTGTGTGATGATGACTGTGTGTGTGTGATGATGATGACTGTGTGTGTGTGAGATGATGACTGTGTGGTGTGATGATGACTGTGTGTGTGTGTGAGATGATGACTGTGTGTGTGTGAGATGATGACTGTGTGCGTGTGATGATGACTGTGTGTGTGTGTGATGATGACTGTGTGTGTGTGAGATGATGACTGTGTGTGTGTGTGATGATGACTGTGTGTGTGTGATGATGACTGTGTGTGTGTGTGATGATGACTGTGTGCGTGTGTGATGATGACTGTGTGCGTGTGTGATGATGACTGTGTGTGTGTGTGATGATGACTGTGTGTGTGTGTGATGATGACTGTGTGCGTGTGAGATGATGACTGTGTGTGTGTGTGATGATGACTGTGTGCGTGTGAGATGATAACTGTGTGCGTGTGTGATGATGACTGTGTGTGTGTGTGATGATGACTGTGTGTGTGTGTGATGATGACTGTGTGTGTGTGTGATGATGACTGTGTGTGTGTGTGATGATTGTGTGTGTGTGATGATGACTGTGTGTGTGTGAGATGATGACTGTGTGTGTGTGTGATGATGACTGTGTGTGTGTGTGATGATGACTGTGTGTGTGTGTGATGATGACTGTGTGTGTGTGTGATGATGACTGTGTGTGTGTGTGATGATGACTGTGTGTGGTGTGTGATGATGACTGTGTGTGTGTGTGATGATGACTGTGTGTGTGTGTGATGATGACTGTGTGTGTGTGTGATGATGACTGTGTGTGTGTGTGATGATGACTGTGTGTGTGTGTGATGATGACTGTGTGTGTGTGTGATGATGACTGTGTGTGTGTGTGATGATGACTGTGTGTGTGTGTGATGATGACTGTGTGTGTGTGTGATGATGACTGTGTGTGTGTGTGATGATGACTGTGTGTGTGTGATGATGACTGTGTGTGTGTGTGATGAGACTGTGTGTGTGTGTGATGATGACTGTGTGTGTGTGTGATGATGACTGTGTGTGTGTGTGATGATGACTGTGTGTGTGTGTGATGATGACTGTGTGTGTGTGTGATGATGACTTGTGTGTGTGTGAGATGATGACTGTGTGTGTGTGTGATGATGACTGTGTGTGTGTGTGATGATGACTGTGTGTGTGTGTGATGATGACTGTGTGTGTGTGATGATGACTGTGTGTGTGTGTGGATGATGACTGTGTGCGTGTGTGATGATGACTGTGTTTGCGTGTGATGATGACTGTGTGTGTGTGTGTAGATGATGACTGTGTGCGTGTGTGATGATGACTGTGTGTGTGTGTGAGATGATGACTGTGTGCTGTGTGTGATGATGACTGTGTGCGTGTGAGATGATGACTGTGTGTGTGTGTGATGATGACTGTGTGTGTGTGTGATGATGACTGGTGTGTGTGTGAGATGATGACTGTGTGTGTGTGTGATGATGACTGTGTGCGTGTGTGATGATGACTGTGTGTGTGTGTGATGATGACTGTGTGCGTGTGTGATGATGACTGTGTGTGTGTGTGAGATGATGACTGTGTGCGTGTGTGATGATGACTGTGTGCGTGTGAGATGATGACTGTGTGTGTGTGTGATGATGACTGTGTGCGTGTGAGATGATGACTGTGTGTGTGTGTGATGATGACTGTGTGTGTGTGTGATGATGACTGTGTGTGTGTGTGATGATGACTGTGTGTGTGTGAGATGATGACTGTGTGCGTGTGTGATGATGACTGTGTGCGTGTGTGATGATGACTGTGTGTGTGTGATGATGACTGTGTGCATGTGTGATGATGACTGTGTGCGTGTGTGATGATGACTGTGTGTGTGTGTGATGATGACTGTGTGTGTGTGTGATGATGACTGTGTGCGTGTGTGATGATGACTGTGTGCGTGTGTGATGATGGCTGTGTGCGTGTGTGATGATGACTGTGTGCGTGTGTGATGATGACTGTGTGCGTGTGTGATGATGACTGTGTGTGTGTGTGTGATGATGACTGTGTGTGTGTGTGATGATGACTGTGTGCGTGTGTGATGATGACTGTGTGTGTGTGAGATGATGACTGTGTGTGTGTGTGATGATGACTGTGTGCGTGTGTGATGATGACTGTGTGTGTGAGATGATGACTGTGCGTGTGTGAGATGATGACTGTGTGTGTGTGTGATGATGACTGTGTGCGTGTGTGATGATGACTGTGTGTGTGTGTGATGATGACTGTGTGTGTGTGTGATGATGACTGTGTGCGTGTGTGATGATGACTGTGTGCGTGTGTGATGATGACTGTGTGTGTGTGTGATGATGACTGTGTGTGTGTGTGTGATGATGACTGTGTGCGTGTGTGATGATGACTGTGTGCGTGTGTGATGATGACTGTGTGCGTGTGTGATGATGACTGTGTGTGTGTGTGATGATGACTGTGTGCGTGTGTGATGATGACTGTGTGTGTGTGTGCTGATGACTGTGTGCGTGTGTGAGATGATGACTGTGTGTGTGTGAGATGATGACTGTGTGTGTGTGTGATGATGACTGTGTGTGTGTGTGTGATGATGATGACTGTGTGTGTGATGATGATGACTGTGTGTGTGTGTGCGTGACGAGGAACCTGCTGCCCATCTGTGCGGTGTGCGTGTGTGATGATGACTGTGTGTGTGTGATGATGACTGTGTGTGTGTGATGATGATGACTGTGTGTGTGTGTGTGATGATGATGACTGTGTGTGTGTGTGATGATGACTGTGTGTGTGATGATGATGACTGTGTGTGTGTGTGCGTGACGAGGAACCTGCTGCCCATCTGTGCGGTGTGCGTGTGTGATGATGACTGTGTGTGTGTGATGGTAACTGTGTGTGTGTGTGTGTGATGATGATGACTGTGTGTGTGTGTGTGATGATGATGACTGTGTGTGTGTGTGATGATGACTGTGTGTGTGTGCGTGATGATGACTGTGTGTGTGTGTGATGATGACTGTGTGTGTGTGTGATGGTGACTGTGTGCGTGTGTGATGATGATGATGGTGACTGTATGTGTGTGTGTGCGTGACGAAGAACCTGCTGCCCATCTGTGCGGTGTGCGTGTGTGATGATGACTGTGTGTGTGTGTGATGATGACTGTGTGTGTGTGTGATGATGACTGTGTGTGTGTGATGATGACTGTGTGTGTGTGTGTGCGTGACGAAGAACCTGCTGCCCATCTGTGCGGTGTGCGTGTGTGATGATGACTGTGTGTATGTGTGTGATGATGACTCTGTGTGCGTGTGTGATGATGACTGTGTGTGTGTGTGATGATGACTGTGTGTGTGTGTGATGATGACTGTGTGTGTATGTGTGATGATGACTGTGTGTGTGTGTGTGATGATGACTGTGTGTGTGTGTGATGATGACTGTGTGTGTGTGTGTGCGTGACGAGGAACCTGCTGCCCATCTGTGCGGTGTGCGTGGACGAGGGCGAGCGGCCGCTCGTGCTGCTGCCGCTCATGAGCTGGGGGAACCTGAAGCTCTTCCTGCGCCAGTGCAAGCTGGCCGAGGCCAACAACCCACAGGTGTGCAACAACAACAACACTGGCAACAACAACAACAACAACACGGGCATCAACAACAACAACACCATCAAGAACAATAACATCAAGAACAACACTAGCAGCAACAACACAGGCATCAACAACAACAACACCATCAACAACAACACTGGCATCAACAACAACACCAACAACAACAACACAGGAATCAACAACAACACAGGCATCAACAACAAAAATAACATCAACAACAACAATAACAACACCGCCTACAACAAGGCTGCCAACAAAAACAACACGGCAACAACAAAAACACCACCACCAGCAACAACACCACTAATGGCAACAACAACAAAAACAATAGCAACGACAACAACACTGCTAACAACAAAAACAACACGGCCAACAACAACACCACCACCACCAGCAACAACACCACTAATGTCAACAACAATAACAACAACAATAACAACAACACCACCAACAACGACAACAACACTGCCAACAGCACCACTAACAACACTGCCAACAACAACACCACCAACACCACCAATTACAACAACACCACAAATGACAGCAACAACAACAACACCGCCACCACCACCACAAGGGCTGCTAAACCCCAGCAGGTGTACTCACCTGGGCACTACCACGACCACACCAGTAGCAACGCCAACACCGCCACCACCAGCACCACCAGCACCGCCACCACCAGCGCCGCCACCACCAGCACCGCCGCCACCACCACCACCGCCACCACCAGCACCGCCACCACCAGCACCGCCACCACCGCCACCACCACCACCGCCACCACCAGCGCCGCCACCACCACCACCGCCACCACCAGCACCGCCACCACCAACACCGCCACCACAGCTACCAGCACCGCCACCACCAGCACCACCATCATCACCACCACCACCAGCACCGCCACCACCAGCACCACCACCACCAGCACCGCCACCACCAGCACCGCCACCACCAGCACCGCCACCACCAGCACCGCCACCACAACCGCCACCACCAGCACCGCCACCACCAGCACCGCCACCACCAGCACCGCCACCACCAGCACCGCAGTTTTTGTGGTTGGAGCGCGTCAATCTAAATGTGTCGATTTAAAGCGTTTGTGACGGCAGGGATTCATATTCTTGGTTCGTTCTGTAAAGTCACGTGGAAGGGAAATATTAAAAAAATAATAAAGTTCTGACGACGTTTCGGCCACGACGCAAGCAGCCGTTCTCGGGTGAAGAAACAGAGCTGTGGGAAATTCGTGAGAACTTTATAATGTTTTATTATTTTATTATTTCCCTTCTACGTGACTTCAACGAAAGAACCAATAAATCTAAATGTGTCGTTAAATGCGCTGCCGCCGCCACCACCACCACCGACACAGCTAATTAGGAAAGGGGTTTGTTGCGTGAACAAAACGTGGCCAATCCGAAGCTAAATTCTTGGTCCTTTCGGTAAAGTCACGTAGAAGGGAAATAATAAAATAATAAAAAATTTAACTATAAAATTCTCAGATAGTTTAGTTAAATAGTTTAAATTAATAATTTAATTTACATTATTTTTTTTAGTTTAATATGATATTCTTGGTCCTTTCGGTAAAGTCATGTAGAAGGGAAATAATAAAATAATAAAACATTTACAATACAATTCTCACGACGTTTCGATTGCAACACACGCAATCATCATCGGGTGTGAAAACCACAGCAAGAAAATTTGTGGCGTTTTTTTTATTTCTTGCCGTGGTTTTCCCACCCGATGATGATTGCTTGTGTTGCAGTCGAAACGTCGTGAGAATTTAATTGTTTAATTCAGCACAGAATGGAGAGTGGTGGTGCAGCGGTTAGCGCGATGCTCTATGAACCCGGCAACCTAAGTTTCATACCAGGTTATCTGAACCGGTCATGGGCATCCCCTAGGTCCACACAACCTCAAATGAGTACCTGGTGTGATGTGTAGACGTCGCCACTGGGGAGACAAAGGCGGCCGGGCGTGGTGCTGGCCACCCGCCCCCTCGTGTGCCGTGCCGGCCTTAATCGGTGCTCACGGTTTGACCATGTTTGTTTGTTGTAGTACAGAGTTAGACTGATGGCCTTAATCTAAGTTGTCTTGTGGTTGTTGTTGTTTGACTTGCATCCCACTGGGATTTCTGCACACAGCGTTGGTGTACGGTGCTTTTTCTGCAATATTTTGCTGTCTTTTCTTGGATTTTCTGTTTGCACTCAGTCACATATTCACTTTAAGATGTTTTCTTTTTCATGTTTTTGTTTTTTGTTTGTTGCGGTTGCACCCGATTCAAGAGCCGAATGGCTCACAGGGCTATACCTAATAAATGAAACTTAAAACTTGAAACGGACTGCACTTGCCTCAAACGGTGTGTTGAGGCTACATGGGGGATCTTTGTCTTTGTGTTGATCGCAGAGCCTGTCACAGCAAGACCTGGTGAACATCGCCATCCAGATCGCGTGCGGCATGAGCTACCTCACCAAGCGGGAGGTGGTGCACCGAGACCTCGCCGCCAGGAACTGCGTGTAAGCTCACGCCCCCCGCTCGTCACACGCGTGACCCCCACCGTGTCACACCAGCTTGTGTGGCGTGCGTGCGTGTGCGTGTGTGTGCGTGTGTGTGCGTGTGTGTGTGCGTGCGTGTGTGCGTGTGTGCGTGCGTGTGTGCGTGTGTGTGTGGGGAGCGGTAGTGTAGCGGTTAGCGCTACGCTGCGCTATGAACCTGGCGACCCGGGTTCGATTCCCGCTCACGGCTAACACTAGTGACGATTATCTGAACCAGTCCTGGGCCTCCCCTAGGTCGACTCAGCCTTAAATGAGTACCTGGTGCGATGTGTAAACATCGCCACTGGGGAGACAAAGGCGGTCGGGCGTGGTGCTGGCCACCCACCCCCTCGTTCATGTACCATTCCGGCCTTCATAGGTGCTCGCTAACAGCACTTGCCCCTACAGTCTGTTAAGGCTACACGAGGGATCGTTGTTTCGTCTTTTGTATGTGTGTGGGGAGCGGTGGCAAAGCGGTTAGCGCGCTGCGCTACGAACGCGGCGACCCGAGTTCGATTCCCGCTCACGGCCACCAACACCGGTGACGATTTTCTAAACCGGTCCTGGGCCTCCCCTAGGTCGACTCGGCCTCAAATAAGTACCCAGTGCGGTGTGTAGTAAAAATCGCCACTGGGAGAGACAAAGGCGGCCGGGCGTGGTGCTGACCATCCACCCCCTCGTGCGCCGCAGCGCCGGCCTTGATCAGTGCTACTCGCCGAACAACACTTGCCCCAACAGTCTGTTGAGGCTACACGGGGTGTCTTTGTGTGCGTGTGCAGCATTGACGAGGGCCTGCACGTGAAGATCACGGACACGGCGCTGGCTCGCGACCTCTTCCCCATGGACTACCACTGCCTGGGGGACAACGTGAACCGGCCTGTGCGCTGGATGGCCCTCGAAGGCCTCCTCCACCACGACTTCTCCCCCGCCAGCGACGTGGTACGACCCGTGACGCCCCCCACCACCCCTCCCCCCCCCCCCACAGCGACGTGGTACGACCCGTGACGCCCCCTACCATCCCTCCCCCCCCCACAGCGACGTGGTACGACCCGTGACGCCCCCCACCACCCCTCCCCCCCCAGCGACGTGGTACGACCCGTGACGCCCCCCACCATCCCTCCCCCCCCCCAGCGACGTGGTACGACCCGTGACGCCCCCCACCACCCCTCCCCCCCCCCCCACAGCGACGTGGTACGACCCGTGACGCCCCCCACCATCCCTCCCCCCCCCACAGCGACGTGGTACGACCCGTGACGCCCCCCACCATCCCTCCCCCCCCACAGCGACGTGGTACGACCCGTGACGCCCCCCACCATTCCTCCCCCCCCAGCGACGTGGTATGACCCGTGACGCCCCCCACCATCCCTCCCCCCCCACAGCGACGTGGTACGACCCGTGACGCCCCCCACCATTCATCCCCCCCCAGCGACGTGGTACGACCCGTGACGCCCCCCACCACCCCTCCCCCCCCCCCCACAGCGACGTGGTACGACCCGTGACGCCCCCCACCATCCCTCCCCCCCCCACAGCGACGTGGTACGACCCGTGACGCCCCCCACCACCCCTCCCCCCCCAGCGACGTGGTACGACCCGTGACGCCCCCCACCATCCCTCCCCCCCCCCCAGCGACGTGGTACGACCCGTGACGCCCCCCACCACCCCTCCCCCCCCCCCCACAGCGACGTGGTACGACCCGTGACGCCCCCCACCATCCCTCCCCCCCCCACAGCGACGTGGTACGACCCGTGACGCCCCCCACCATCCCTCCCCCCCCACAGCGACGTGGTACGACCCGTGACGCCCCCCACCATTCCTCCCCCCCCAGCGACGTGGTATGACCCGTGACGCCCCCCACCATCCCCCCCCCCCCCCCCAGCGACGTGGTATGACCCGTGACGCCCCCCACCACCCCTCCCCCTCCCGCCAGCGACGTGGTACAACCCATGACGCTCCCTCTGTGGTGACGCAGCAGAGGTCTCACTCTGAATCAGTCGAGCGGCAATGTCTTTTCATTGGTTGTGTAACTCTGCTGTGTGGAAGCTACCTGGTCTGTCGCTCCGGTGACGTCACCGCCACTTAGTGGCGAATGGCGGTTGTTGTTGTTGTGTCACTCTGTGTGTGTGTTCCTATCTGTGTGTGTGTGTGTCACTCTGTGTGTGTGTTACTGTGTGTGTGTGTGCAGTGGGCGTTTGGGGTGACGCTGTGGGAGTTGATGACGCTGGGCCAGACGCCCTATCTGTGTGTGTGTGTTACTGTGTGTGTGTTACTATGTGTGTGTTACTATGTATGTGTGTGTTACTATGTGTGTGTTACTATGTGTGTGTGTGTTACTATGTGTGTGTGTTACTGTGTGTGTGTTACTGTGTGTGTCACTCTGTGTATGTCACTCTGTGTGTGTGTCACTCTGTGTGTGTGTGTAACTGTGTGTGTGTGTGTGCAGTGGGCGTTTGGGGTGACGCTGTGGGAGTTGATGACGCTGGGCCAGACCCCCTATCTGTGTGTGTGTTACTGTGTGTGTGTGTTACTGTGTGTGTCACTCTGTGTGTGTGTTACTGTGTGTGTTACTCTGTGTGTGTGTGTTACTGTGTGTGTCACTCTGTGTGTGTGTGTTACTGTGTGTGTCACTCTGTGTGTGTGTGTTACTGTGTGTGTCACTCTGTGTGTGTGTGTTACTGTGTGTGTCACTCTGTGTGTGTGTGTTACTATGTGTGTGTGTCACTCTGTGTGTGTTACTCTGTGTGTGTGTGTGTTACTGTGTGTGTGTTACTGTGTGTGTGTGTTACTCTGTGTGTGTGTGTCACTCTGTGTGTGTGTAACTGTGTGTGTGTGTGTGCAGTGGGCGTTTGGGGTGACGCTGTGGGAGTTGATGACGCTGGGCCAGACCCCGTACGCTGTGTGTGTGTGTTACTCTGTGTGTGTGTGTTACTGTGTGTGTGTTACTGTGTGTGTCACTCTGTGTGTGTGTTACTGTGTGTGTTACTCTGTGTGTGTGTTACTGTGTGTGTTACTCTGTGTGTGTGTGTTACTGTGTGTGTGTTACTCTGTGTGTGTCACTCTATGTGTGTGTGTTACTGTGTGTGTCACTCTGTGTGTGTGTGTTACTGTGTGTGTGTGTGTTACTGTGTGTGTCACTCTTAGGGGTCGGCACGGTTTGAACCGACTCAAACTGGTTTCAAATTGAGAAAACCAAACCAAACCAAACCAGCGACGACTGAACCAAACCAAACCAAAACCAAACCAAACTAAGCTAAACCAAACCTCTTGAGTTGGCTTGAACCGAAAAGATGCGCGGCAAACAATATTCGCATTCAATACAAATATCAAGTGTATTAATCGCTAATGTCTACGCAGGCTTTCTTCATATTGAGATTCACTAGCAAGTACTGGACGACGATGTCGTCCACAGCCATCTCCTCAAGCTTGGCACGCCCAATGTCCTTGAACGCAGTGTGGTAGTTCAATGGCAGGGAAACCCCAACACTAGGCAACATCCGCGCCCACGAGCGCACACACATCTCGGCCTTGAACGTGCACTTGTGCAGGTTTGGTCGGTCGAGAAAGGAGCGCTTGGCGGCCGAGTTTGCTCTCTCGGAGGGCACGGACGACGCCGGGATAGGCAAATAGTCGAGGGCCACGCGTCGTATGCGCGGGTACTTGCCGCCGTACAGCTTCCACCACTCGACGACGTCCATGCTCAGGTCCTGAGTCGGCTCAAGCAGGAAGCGGTCGACCTCGGAGGCGGCGCCGTCGTGAGCGTTGGGCGCGTAGACCATGTCAAAGAGGATGTTAATGCCGCCACGCGGCGCCGCCTTCGGCGCCGCGTCCGTCGTCAACGCTGGGTAGCGCTGGTTGAGAATGTCCGTCATCATGTCCTTGATATTGCTATACTCGGCCTTCACAACCAACCAAACTAGTTTGAGCCGGTTCCACCCTGTCCGAGCCAAACCGAGTCGGTTTTCGTAGCCCCAAACCAAACCGAACCAGTTCAAACAGAGCCAAACCAAACCGATTTGGTTCGGTTCAAACCGCGGTTTGGTGGTTTGGTTCAAACCGCGGTTTGGTGGTTTGAGCCAAACCGTGCCGACCCCTAGTCACTCTGTGTGTGTGTTCCTATCTGTGTGTGTGTGCAGTGGGCGTTTGGGGTGACGCTGTGGGAGTTGATGACGCTGGGACAGACCCCGTACGCTGAAATCGACCCCTTCGAGATGGCGGCTTACCTCAAGGACGGATTCCGAATCCCCCAACCCTGCAACTGCCCTGACGAGCTGTACGTACTCACCACACTCACCACACTCACCACACCACACTCACCACACTCACCACACCACACTCACCACACTCACCACACCACACTCACCACACTCACCGCACTCACCACACTCACCACACCACACTCACCACACTCACCACACTCACCACACCACACTCACCACACTCACCACACTCGCTCACCACACTCACCACACTCACTCACCACACTCACAACACTCACAACACTCACTCACCACACTCACCACACTCACCACACCACACTCACCGCACTCACCACACTCACCACACTCACCGCACCACACTCACCACACTCACCACACTCACCACACTCACCACACCACACTCACCACACTCACTCACCACACTCGCCACACTTACCACACTCACCACACTCACCACACTCACTCACCACACTCACCACACTCACCACACTCACTCACCACACTCACTCACCACACTCACCACACTCACTCACCACACTCACCACACTCACCCCACTCACCACACCACACTCACCACACCACACTCACCACACTCACCACACTCACCACACTCACTCACCACACTCACCGCACTCACCGCACTCACCACACCACACTCACCACACTCACCACACTCACCACACCACACTCACCACACTCACTCACCACACTCACCTCACCACACTCACCACACTCACCTCACCACACTCACCACACTCACCACACTCACCACCACACTCACCACCACACTCACCACCACACTCACCACACTCAGTCACCACACTCACTCACCACACTCACCACACTCACCACACTCACTCACCACACTCACCACACCACACTCACCGCACCGCCACACTCACCACACTCACCACACTCACCACACCACACTCACCACACTCACTCACCACACTTGCCGCACTCACCACACTCACCACACCACACTCACCACACTCACTCACCACACTCACCACACTTGCCGCACCGCACCACACCACCACACTCACCGCACTCACCACACCACACTCACCACACTCACCACACTCACTCACCACACTCACCTCACCACACTCACCACACTCACCTCACCACACTCACCACACTCACCACCACACTCACCACACTCACCACCACACTCACCACACTCAGTCACCACACTCACCACACTCACCACACTCACTCACCACACCACACTCACCGCACCGCCACACTCACCACACTCACCACACTCACCACACCTCACTCACCACACTCACTCACCACACTTGCCGCACTCACCACACTCACCACACTCACCACACCACACTCACCACACTCACTCACCACACTCACCACACTCACCACACCACACTCACCACACTCACTCACCACACTCACCTCACCACACTCACCACACTCACCTCACCACACTCACCACACTCACCACCACACTCACCACACTCACCACCACACTCACCACACTCAGTCACCACACTCACCACACTCACCACACTCACTCACCACACTCACCACACCACTCACCGCACCGCCACACTCACCACACTCACCACACTCACCACACCACACTCACCACACTCACTCACCACACTTGCCGCACCGCACCACACCGCCACACTCACCACACTCACCACACTCACTCACCACACTTGCCGCACTCACCACACTCACCACACTCACCACACTCACTCACCACACTCACTCACCACACTTGCCGCACCGCACCACACCGCCACACTCACCACACTCACCACACTCACTCACCACACTCACTCACCACTCACCACACTCACCACACCACACTCACCACACTCACTCACCAAACTCACCACACTTGCCGCACTCACCACACTCACCACACTCACCACACTCACCACACTCACTCACCACACTTGCCGCACCGCACCACACCGCCACACTCACCACACTCACCACACTCACCACACTCACTCACCACACTCACCACACTCACCACACTCACTCACCACACTTGCCGCACCGCACCACACCGCCACACTGCGCAGAATGTACTGAACCAAACGCACCGCACCACACTGCACTACTGCACCACACTCGATGCACTACCGCACTGACCGCACTACACCACACTCACCACACTGCACTCACCACACCGCACTACTGCACAACACTGTAATACCACACTGATGGTGATGGTGTGGTGGTGGTGACGGTGTGGTGGTGGTGGTGACGGTGTGGTGGTGACGGTGTGGTGGTGGTGGTGGTGATGACGTGGTGGTGGTGGTGACGGTGTGACGATGACGGTGTGGTGGTGGTGATGGTGTGGTGGTGGTGACGTGGTGACGGTGTGGTGGTGGTGACGGTGTGGTGGTGACGGTGTGACGGTGACGGTGTGGTGGTGGTGACGGTGTGGTGGTGGTGACCTTGTGGTGGTGGTGACGGTGTGGTGACGGTGTGGTGACGGTGATGGTGTGGTGGTGGTGGTGACGGTGTGGTGACGGTGTGGTGGTGGTGACGGTGTGGTCGTGGTGGTGACGGTGACGGTGTGGTGGTGGTGACGGTGACGGTGTGGTGGTGGTGACGGTGTGGTGGTGGTGATGGTGACGGTGTGGTGACGGTGATGGTGTGGTGATGGTGTGGTGGTGGTGTGGTGATGATGGTGACGGTGTGGTGGTGGTGATGGTGACCGTGTGACGGTGATGGTGTGGTGGTGGTGGTGGTGGTGTGGTGATGGTGTGATGGTGACGGTGTGGTGGTGGTGATGGTGTGATGGTGACGGTGTGGTGGTGGTGGTGACGGTGTGGTGGTGGTGGTAACGGTGTGGTGGTGGTGGTGTAGTGGTGGTGGTGGTGACGGTGACGGTGTGGTGACGGTGTGGTGACGGTGACGGTGTGGTGGTGGTGACATGGTGGTGGTGGTGACGGTGTGGTGACGGTGACGTGGTGGTGGTGGTGACGTGGTGGTGGTGGTGGTGACAGTGTGGTGACGGTGTGGTGGTGGTGTGGTGGTGGTGACGGTGTGGTGGTGGTGGTGGTGACGGTGTGGTGATGGTGATGGTGGTGACGGTGTGGTGGTGACGGTGTGGTGGTGATGGTGACGGTGACGGTGTGGTGGTGGTGGTGATGGTGACGGTGTGGTGGTGGTGACGGTGTGGTGGTGACGGTGTGACGGTGACGGTGTGGTGGTGGTGATGACGGTGTGGTGGTGGTGGTGACGGTGTGGTGATGGTGGTGGTGACGGTGGTGGTGTGGTGATGGTGGTGGTGACGGTGTGGTGACGGTGGTGGTGTGGTGATGGTGGTGGTGACGGTGTGGTGGTGGTGGTGACGTGCAGGTTTGCAGTCATGGCGTGCTGCTGGGCGCTGGACCCAGAGGAGAGGCCAAAGTTCACGCAGCTGGTGCAGTGCCTCACCGAGTTCCACGCGGCACTCACCGCCTACGTCTGAGCTCACCGCTCACCACTCATCACCCACGTGTGACCTCACCGCTCACCACTCACCACCCACCACTCACCACCCACGTGTGACCTCACCGCTCACCACTCACCACCCACCGCTCACCACCCACGTGTGAACTCACCGCTCACCGCTCACCACGTGCATTTGAACTCGCTCCTCGCAGCCCATGGCCTCTGCTCGCCGCCCCTGTGCGACCTCTCCACTCGTCGCCCACCGCTTGAGTGTCAGCTCGCCGCTCACCACTCACCACTCACCACCGTGTGAGCTCACCGCTCACCGCTCACCACTCACCACCGTGTGAGCTCATCGCTCACCACTCACCACTCACCACCGTGTGAGCTCGCCGCTCGCCACTCGCCACTCACTACTCACCACTCCCGTGTGAGCTCACCCTGTTCTCCTTGAACTCCCCCCACCTGGGTTCCATCTGGTGTCTCGCCGCGTCGTTGACTTTTCTCATCCCGGGAGCCGTGAGCGGGGCAAGGGGCGACCCTGGAGTGGACGCAGGGGGCGGTGTGGGTCATGGGGGTCAGATGTGGGTGGAGGGTCAGGGGGCGACGAGTCAGAGGTGAAGGTTCAGGGGGTGGTGCATGTCAGGGGGCGACGAGTCAGAGGTGAAGGGTCAGGGGGCGACGAGTCAGAGGTGAAGGGTCAGGGGGCGATGCATGTCAGGGGGCGACGAGTCAGAGGTGAAGGGTCAGGGGGCGGTGCACGTCAGGGGGCGACGAGTCAGGTGAAGGGTCAGGGGGCGACGAGTAGGGGGTGATGCCAGTCAGCGGGTGAGGCGGGCCACGTGGTGACGCGGGCTTAGGGGGTGCGGTTGCGGGGCTGGAGGTGGATGCCGGGTAGGCGGTGACAGTGGCGGTGCGGTGTCATGGCGCCGGGTGGACACTGGGTGGACACTGGACACTGGGTGGACGCTGGGTGGACACTGGGTAGACACCGGGGCCGGCCTCCCTCTCGCCGTCGCGCCCCTCATCTCTCTGCGCTCGCTCCTTCCGCTCCGTCTGCTTCGTCGTTGTTGTTGTTTTTACTGCATCACACATACACACATATACACAGACACATATACACACACACACACATATATTTGTCTCTCTCTTAACTTCAGTTCTTCGTGAGAGACTTTTGTGTAGCATCGTGGGGGGGGGGGCGGCGACCGCGCACCGAGGTCACGGGGGATCGGAGGTCACGTGGGGCTCGGAGGTCACGGGGGGCTCGGAGGTCACGGGGGGCTCGGAGGTCACGGGGGGCTCGGAGGTCACTTGCGGATGCCGAGGCCGGCAAAAATTTACAAGTTTATATATAAAATATTCATAAATAAATAATGTTCATAATCGACCGCTCTGGGGAAACGCTACGGTGCCATGGCGGGGGGGGGGGGGGGTAGAGGTTGGGGGGGTAGAGGTTGGGGGGGTAGAGGTGGGGGCTGGGGGGGTACAGGTGTGGGTGGTAGAGGTGGGGGGTGCGTGGCTCCGTTCGCTGGGTTGCGTGTCGCGTTGTGCCCTCACGTCACGTCGCGTGCTGGCTGGAGGGGGTACCGGGGGGGGGGGGTACCGGGGGGGGCGGGGGGGGGCGTGGGGGGGGTGCGGGGGAGGGGTATGGGGGGGCGTGGGGGTCTCGTCAGGGTTTGAGCGGCCTTCACCGACGGCGCCTTGAATTTCGGAGAGACGTGGACACAGCAGCAGCCGCAGTGGCAGCAGCAGCAGCCGCAGCGGCGGCGGCGGCGGCGGCGGCGGGCGGCGGTGGCCGCGGCCGCCGACTATTTACGAGCCGACGATCGATGTTGTAACCGCGTGCGTGCGTGTGTATAATAATAATAATGTAATAATATTGTATTAATTATAATTACGAGTTAACTCGAGTCCGCGTGTCACCGTCCGCGGGCGTTAAGGCGCCTGCCACTGGAGTACACAAGGGTACTGCGCCTTGATCCACACGAGAGAAAAACAAAACTCAATAATAATGGTCCCGTGTTTTTGTGTCACCCCCTGCGTTCGGCCGAGGGTTGTGGTAGGTGCGTGCCAAGTTTGGTGGGGGGGGGGGGGGGTAGGGGGGGGAAGGGGGGCAGAGGTCGCGCTCCGGCCTGTCCGTGGCGTCCTCTGGGCCACGCGAATCGCGAGCGGCCCTGGCCGCGGAAGGTCACGGGAGGTCGCGGGAGGTCGCGGGTGGAGAGGGTGGAGAGGGTGGCTGGGTCCGGTGTCAATTAGGTGACGGGCGTGTGATACGCAGAGAGTCGCCGGGGTCACGGTTAAGGTCAAGGTCACGTGCCTGGGGCTGGCTCGGCAGGGGAGCGTGGGGTGGGGGGAGCATTGATGGGGGGGGGGTGGGTGTTGTTGGGTGGGGGGGTGAGTGTGTGGGGTGAGTGTGTGGGGTGAGTGTGTGGGGTGAGTGTGTGACGTTTGATTGCGTGGGGGCGAGGGTGCAGGTGTGAGCGGTGAGAATGTGAGATGTAGGGTGGTGTGAGTGTACTGTGTTTGGGGTGAGTGTACTGTGTTTGGGATGAGTGTACTGTGTTTGGGATGAGTGTACTGTGTTTGGGGTGAGTGTACGGTGTGGGGTTGGTGAGTTTGCTGGGTGAGTTTTAGTGGTGAGTTAACTTGTGATGGATGAGTGATTTGAGGGTGAGGGCTGTGGTGGTCATGTTACTTGAGTGTGGGGTGAGTGCTGGGTGAGTGAGTTCAGTAGTGGGTGAGCATGGTGCGAGTGTGAAAGGGGTGGGGTGGGTGTGTGTGATCAGTGTGGGTCTGTTTGGTGAGTTTTGGGTGAGTGCGGAGAGTGCTGGATCGGCGTCAGGTGAGGGTGGTTAGGGTGGTGAAGTTGGCATGAGCTTGGGGTTTCGCTTGAGTGTGGGGCGAATGTTGTGGGGTGAGTGTGGAGCCAGTGCTGGTGAGGGTGGGGTGAGCACTGGTGAGGGTGGGGTGAGCACTGGTGAGCATGTGGTGAGTGGGGCTAGTTCTTGTTAGTGTGGAGTGAGTGCTGGTGAGTGCGGGGTGATTGTGGAGCAAGGGCTGGTGAGTGGAGTCAGGGCATGGTGAGCGTGGGGTGAGTGCTGGTAAGTGCTGGTGAGCGCGTGGTGAGCGCGTGGGGGGTGCATGGTGAGCGCGTGGTGAGCGAGCGTGGGGGGGGTGCTTGGTAGCGAGTGAGGGCTGATGAATGCGTGGTGAGTACGAGGTGAGCGTGTGTGGTGAGCGAGCGTGGTGGCGAGTGCGGAGTGAGGGCTGGTGAGTGTGTGGTGAGTGCGTGGTGAGTGCGTGGTGAGTACAAGGTGAGCGTACAAGATGAGTGAGCGTGGGGGGTGCGGAGTGAGGGCTGGTGAGTGCGTGGTGAGTGCGAGGTGAGCGTGCGAGGTGAGAGTGCGTGGTGAGTGCGTGGTGAGTGCGAGGTGAGTGCGTGGTGAGCGTACGAGGTGAGCGTGCGTGGTGAGTGTGTGGTGAGCGTACGAGGTGAGCGAGCGTGGTGAGCGTACGAGGTGAGCGTGCGTGGTGAGTGCGAGGTGAGCGTGCGAGGTGAGCGTGCGTGGTGAGCGCGTGGGGGACGTACGAGGTGAGCGTGCGTGGTGAGTGCGAGGTGAGCGTGCGTGGTGAGCGTGCGAGGTGAGAGTGCGAGGTGAGCGTGCGAGGTGAGCGTGCGAGGTGAGCGTGCGTGGTGAGCGCGTGGTGAGTGCGTGGTGAGTACGAGGTGAGTGTGCGTGGTGGGCGAGCGTGGGGGGCGAGCGCTGGAGGAAGGCAGCATGCCGCCAGTGGCTCTCTCTCTCGCTCGCGTGTTTAGTCTCAGCCCCGTGGTCGCTGGGACGGTAACTGTGAATATGGGTCGCTCCGTCCGTCACGATTTGTACGTGTACTATGTTATTGTGTACTATGTTGTTGTGTACTATGTTATTATTATTAATATTACCACGGTCACCACGACCAGCACGACGATGATGATATTCCTGTTTTTTTTTTTTTGCGTTAACGGGACGGAAATCTCCAACTCAATTTTTTTTAAAGTTTCTCCCATCCCTGATCGGCTGCTTTTTGTTAGATGCTGTCTCTTGGTCTCTCTGTGCGTCTCTCTCCCTGTGTCTCTGTCTCTGTGTCTATCTCCCTCTCTGTGTCTCCCTCTGTCTCTCTCTGTGTCTCTCTCTCTGTGTGTCTCTCTCTCTGACTCCCTACGTGTCTCTCTCTCTCTCTGCGTCTCTCTCTCTGTGTCTCTCTCTGACCCTCTACGTGTCTCTCTCTCTGTCTATCTCTGTGTCTCTCTCTCTCTGTGTCTATCTCTGTGTCTCTCTCTCTGTGTCTCTCTCTGACTCTCTACGTGTCTCCATGTGCCCGTCTCGCGCGCGCGTACGCAGAGCTTTTACCTCGGCGTCGTTTGTACAAAAAAAAAATGAGATGCAAAATAAAAAAAACACGACGACAAACCTTCGATCTCTTCCTCTTCTTCCTCCTCGTCGTCATCTCGGCGCTTTATTCATTCCGTAGACGCAGAGCAGCATCTGCAGTGTCGCGTGCAGGCGGAACGCTTTTCCTATCGTGTGGCTGACGCAGATGTAAACCGCTCCACCCCATTGCTCTCCTCCCGGTGACCGTAACGAGGGGGGGGACAGGCCGGTAAGTAACGACAGCAACGGCAGACGAGTCGGAGGCGATGAGTGGATTCCCTGCTTTGTGTCCTTCCCTCTTGAGGATCGAGTGACCCCACGACCCAAGTACACCAGAGGGCTGTGTTATTTCCCAGAGGGCTGTGTTATTTCCCAGAGGGCTGTGTTGTTTCCCAGAGGGCTGTGTTGTTTCCCAGAGGGCTGTGTTATTTCCCAGAGGGCTGTGTTATTTCCCAGAGGGCTGTGTTATTTCCCAGAGGGCTGTGTTATTTCCCAGTGGTCTTCTGATGAGCATTTGTGCACCGGTCATTATGACCAGATGTGTAATAACACGCTGGAGACGGCTTGTGGAATCGGTCCTTTTATTTCACTTCTTACAGTTCACAAACACTCCCCGTTACTGGCAGGCAACGGGAAGCGGGTAGACAGCCAGCAGAGACACACCGCCACGTGGCACCCGGAGCCCCACTCGCGCGTGGCCCCTCTCTCTCTTCGTTCCGTGTCTGACCCCTTGTCTCTCCTCTCTCCCCTTATTTAATGCCTGGGTCACGTGGTACACTCCAGCCAATCCTCAATAGCCTGCGCCGAATGTTCCAGATCCCCCATCAACTCCCGGGACCACACCCCTGACTTGTCTTCCCATTGGCTGAGGCTAAGACCCGCGAAACCAATCACCTTGCTGACATCCCGTGATCACGATGAGGCCATGCTCCCAGGCTCTCCCCCCATTAGCTGTAAAGCGGGACCGGCAAAGCCGATCACCACGTGAATCCGACATAGGCTCTTATTACAGATGCACAGCAATCGACACCACGGTCACACACGACCTCACTGCTCCATTGCTGCCGGTTGGGATTCAGTGCAAGTGTTCATATTCTACACCCATGCCCGAATCATTATTTGTTACATTATTAAAATTGTCTTTAATTATCTACACTAT